TCGAATGGATGAATGAATGAATTACATCTGATCAGTGAGTTATTATGGACTCGCAATTACCTGTACTTTGCATTCGTTAGGCAGGGCAAGCACCAAAGCACGACGGCGGGGATAGTTTAGTACAAACTGCTTGCGGAAGTTTTCGGCATAGAGCAGGAGGAGTCTTTCTTTCGGGGACAGGGTGTAGTAAGATGGCGGGTAGCATTGGGGACTGTCCTGGAACTCTTCCCTTGTCTCGGGAAACGAGAGATCAATTCTTCCGATTTGCAAAGCGGGGTCGCCTTCGGATAAACTGAATTCGCTCTCTACATTTTCGAATTCACTGCATTCCTCTTCGCCCTCTTCTTCGTATCCAAAGAACATGTCCAACTCTTCCGCGTGCCGTTCTTCGATTTCTTTTAACTTGGCCGCGTGTTTGTTTGTGTCTATGACCGACGAGAATTTCTGGTACTTAGAAGTTACTGGCTTCGGCATATTTAAGTTGTTTTTATTCCTGTTCCGTTTTGTGTTTTCTGTTCGCAATAAATTTTTGCTCTGTTGCTATGACAACGTTTTCCCTTTCAAAATGTTGATACGACCTAAGAGTGGAATGAATAAATTTTGTTTTTGACTATTTTGACTGTTCTCGCAAGGTAATATTAATGTACTCCCTACAACAAAAATATTTCAAGCACTGGCGTTTCTAAATAGAAATAACAGAACTAAAGTTTTCAAACTACTGGAATATTTCAAGCTTTCCTGACCTGGAACTGGTATTCTGTGAGTGACTTCAAAATAGTTTGGCGGATATCCGTGCTTATAATAATTATACAAAAATAAAAACTGCAAAACATTTAACTTGGTGCATTTTTTAGTTTTAAGATTCAGAGCTCATATAATTTGAAGAATGGTAATAATTTTAAGTTAAGAAATGTCAACGAATTAACACACTTTTTAAACAATATTGGCAGCACTGAAATTTCACATTATTATCTACATGCAGTTACCTTGATAACTTTACAAATATACAATAGGTGGCGTTCTACGGATTAATCTTTCAAGCTACAATTGGCGCCATCTACACAAATTTGTGGCAACCGATTATTCCTCACATTGGCAGCACTGAAACAGTTTTAGAAGCATTAGACAGTACATATAATGACTACTAGAGGGCGCTTTTGAAATTAATTTTCAAACTCGCCGATATATTAAATTAGCATAGATGTTTAGCACTGGATTTTGCGAAAATGTCCTCATGTGGGTGATATATTTATGTTTAAAAATACACTACTTGATAATGTTACCTTCGAAAATATAAGATTAAATTGATTAGAAACCAACTTAACCAAAACTACAAACGTGTTGACCATGAGCCGCAACAGTCTTCCGATGATTTAATACGTTGTCGAATTAGAGAGATGGAAGGGTTGTGAAATTGGCCATAGATGGCGCGATACAAAGTCGAAACTGTGTTAAATCTCAATCGGTAAACGATATTCAATATTCGATTTCTCAAGGAGAGTATTAATAATATTAATATAAATACATTTAAAACCTATTATCAGCGGCATTCAAGAGTAACTTAAGTTTTGTATACATGTATATTTTCGATTAATATAACTAATAATAATCAATATAGAAAATGTAAATATCATAAATAATTGTGTTTTTGAAAAGGTACATTTATTTTGTGTCCAGGATTTCTTGTAACCGGTCTGTGACGTTGATTAGCCTTAGATTCGTTAAATTGCAATAATATGTGTCTGCAAATTTTTCCGCTGTCATGCGATAGATGGCGCTAAGCTCGAATTTAGAATGTACGGCAATATCGTGGCGCATATTGGAATGTGTTATGAGATTATGAGTATGTTTTCAATATGAAATACAAATGGTTTCAATAAGCTGTAACTTTTTATTATTTTATAAGATTTCATAATATTTTATATTTATGCTTATACACAAAAAAAGTTTACTAAAATACTTGGAGAGCTACACTTAAAGCTGTAAGTCTGTAAAGCTGTTGACAAAGATGGACTTCCTTCTTGAACATCATTTTATGTATATAAATAGACCTATAATATATTATTATTAAATTAAGTTTGTGTTCTATGCCTGCATATGAACAGCGATTGCACAGCCCTCAGACCACTCAGTTGAAGGTAATTTGAATTAATTTTCTCATTCAATTATATAAAATGGTCATTGTCCGGAGGACTATGCAACTTGTTCTCCTCGCTTTCCAGCTCCCACTGCTTTCGCTTCGCCTGAAGGATGAGGTCTTGGAAAGAGCCGTATTCCGAGTTTTGATGGGACTTGGCAATGAGATCTGCGTTGCCCTCGTCATCGAACAGATCGTACTCGTAGTCAGAGTCGCTCTCCCTATCCATAGATGTGTGCGGCGATATATCCGAAGCTATGTCGCTGTAATCCCCATTATCGGTATCAGTATGCTGATCCGCTGCATCGCTGTCAAAGTTGGGCTCTTCGATGTTGTGTTTCTGGTAGAACATTTTCAGCAGTTGGTCCACTCGTTCCGTGGACAAGTCCGTCATCATCTTCACAGAAATCTTTCGGCGAGTCCGCTTTAGGGGCTTCGTAGGTCTATCCGACATCTCGAATTGTAAGGATGTCTTGAACGTGCTCTTCGCACTCTTCATGTTCTTTGCCAAAGCTCGAAAGAGACGGTTGAAAGCCAATTTACTTGACTTTGACTTCTTTCTGCTATTCGTCGTCTTTGCACTTAAGTATTTTGGGTTTTCCAAAATAAAACGGTGCAGCAGTTGCTTTGTTCCCAGCTGATCTTTTTGTGACTTCAAAAGCTCAACTATAAATTGAATCAAAAGGAGGACATGTTATTCAATTGTTGTGCATTAGAATAGAAGTTAGCTCTATATTACCTTTTTCTTGGGATAATCCGAGTCGATTTTGAAAGACTCCCCATTCGTCGTTGCGACTGTCGGCTGAAGCATCGGCCTTTGCTGGGGCAGCTTTGTTATTTCGAATGTAAAGTCCGTAGGATATGTTCAGAGGCACTACCACCAGAAGCACTAGAAATTGTATGCTCGTATTCATCTTTGGTGCACGTCTTGTTTCTTACGATGTCCAATTCCAAATGACTCAGAATTCTTCCCGCACCTCGCTTAAATACCATTTTGTTGCAGTAGAAGTCATCGGGTCACATCACATAATGTCATTTAAATACCTACGGATACTATTCGGGCATATAAACAAAGGCCGCAGCCGATCGAGTCAGAGCGGCTATCGGCGATCAGGAGAGAGTGGTAGTAGCTGGCGATCGACTGCTGCCGTCCTTGTCTTTCCTAGTAACACTTAATGCATGCACTGGCAATTAAAGGACAACCCATACATCAGTTGAATTAGCGCTTTTCCACTCCAAACACAGACAAAACTCAGGTAGCCCAACCGCCGCACAACAGTCGGCGACGGCTGCGCGAGCGAGAATCAAAACGCAATTCAACAGCCCCGGGCTTACGCGTACTCGGACTCGAACTCGGACGCGGACGCGGACGGGGACGCTGACGAGGCTGATCACTGGTGGGCGACATCGGTGCGCCGGAATGCGTCGGAATGCACCGTTTCATGAATGTAAGTGGGTCATACAGGTAGTTGTTCGCCCTTTAAATGTGAAAGGAAGTGCATATAAATCCTAGCGCCAGCCATAAAAGGATCAACTGCGCCGATCTTTGTCTTGATCTCTCTCGACAAATGTGTCGCTAATTATGGTTGAATCTGGGTTTTATAGATGTAATATAAATAATGTAAATGCGATTTGCGGTGCAGGGCGACACGCGAGGCCAGTATGCAATTAGCCGGCGCCCAACACAATGCTCATCCGCACCTCTAATGAAAGTCTCTAATCAAACCCATATGTGGTAATAGCAACTGGCGTTGTAATAGCTGCCGTTTTCAAGGTGGTAGTGAGTATACGAATATATATTTATAATCTCTTCAAATATATATTATTCATCTTCATCTGGGCACAGCTTATCTTAGTTGGGCAAACTAAATATAAATTAAAATGAATAATGAATGGTTAAACATTCTCTCAACCGAATTAGGCAGACAATCAGCAAACATTGATAGGACAAGACTTAAGATCCGAGCCGACTGGCTGCCCTCAGCTGATGATCAGAGAATGAGAACGTGGTTCTCATGCTGATATACAAACACAGAGACATCCGCATGTTATTGCGACGGCAACTCTAACGTCTGACTTTTCAGCCAACATTGCCAGCCTGCGCCTGCGCCTGCGCCCGTGCCGGTTCCTGTTCCTGTGTTTGCTAAGCACTTAATATGTCGCGACTGTGATTTTGTTGGATGTAGGATTAGAGGACGTATATAGGCTATAGTCATAGTCAATTATAAATATAAATATAAAATTTAAATATAAGATATATGTTAGATATTAATGTATATAAAGTATAATCCGGTTTTAACGACGCTCAAGGGACGCTATAAGCGGAGTCGTTATAACCGGATTCTTCTGTATATCATAATTTTAATAGTTCGACATACCTAAAATATATACTAAGGTCTTATTATACGAGATACAAGAATCTGTCTCTAATCATATAGCATAAGAGCTCAATAAAATATGTAATATTATATATGTATATATTTTATAGAATTCTACGTACGGCTAATATGTATAAGCTCGTCATCTTCACCAAGAATATATACGTATGTATAACCTGTCTAAGTTTTAGCCAGAGTGTCTAAGAAAAGTCGAAGTCGAACTTTATTTAGTTCATACATGTACTATATACCATGTGACTCTTTAAGTGTCCAAGTGCACTGAATGTATTATTTTTAATTATTTTAAACTCTAAGGTTTCCGATTGACGGACAGCAAGACAGAAATCGCATTATATATTATTAATATCAGCGAATGTTCATGATCCAAGCTGAAACTATAAAATAAATAAAAAATAAATATTTAATTTAAAAGTAAAATATTCGATAGGAAAATGGTCTTACATATCCAACCATTAGGGCAGAAATGCTGTATTATATCATTTTTTTATTAACGATAACCATATTGTTATTTTACATTGAATGATAATAATAAATATAATAATTATAAAAATAAAAAGTTTATACAATAAATATTCTTGCAAAAATATAGTGAAGACACTATACTTTCCTACTTAGTTTACATATAATAAAGCTCTTCGTGGCAGTGCGTGATCGACCCCTCCTTTTTTCCGTTTCTTCCTTTTTTTTTTTTGTAAATAAAACATTGTGACTTATAACTTTTCCCCACTGAGATTCACAATATTATAATAGTTATGATCTGGAAAACGTTCCAATTCGATATAGTCCATTTCAGTGTGCAGTAATTTTTCGAGCATCTTTATTATCTCTGCAAACGTTGGTCGCTCATTGGCATCTTGGGACCAACAATAGTACATAATATTGTAGAGCTCCCTTCGACAATGCTCTGGTTTTTCAAGACGATATCCGTCTCGAACCTGAAAATGGGAAAGGTAAATGAATATCGCTTTGGATATACAGCAAAGTGCGAAGTTTTAATTTACCTTGCGCATTACATCGGCAGCAGATATACCTGGATAAGGTGTGGATCCCAATGTAACGATCTCCCACATTAATATACCAAAGCTCCAGATATCCGATTTTATTGAAAATATGTTATCATAAAGTGATTCTGTAGCCATCCATCTAAAACGAAACAAAAATATTGTTATACATTCACAATTTCAGTAGTACTAATAAATCAATTTGTAAGTTCAGCTTAAGTGTCGAAATATATAAAAAATATATTACTAATTTGTACTGCAATGAAGTTTCGTTATCATTTTTGGCGTACTGATAATTATTTTTCTGTTTGTGCAAAACGTATGTAAGGAATCCAATAATAAATTATTGTTCCTTACGTTAATTAACTTAGTTACTGTGTTCTACATAGAAGTGACAATTGACCCTAGTCCCAGCCACAGAACCTATTCAGCAATCAGACATGGATCCTTATTGATACTATGTGGGCTATTTGGAAAACTTATGTGAAATGAATATTATATACCTAATTGGAAGTTTTCCTTCGCTCTTTCGCTCGTATATCTTAGATGTGACGATATCTCTCGCAAATCCAAAATCAGCGACTTTGCATGTATGATCATCAGTGATCAAAATATTGCGCGCAGCAAGGTCACGATGGATTATCTGTAACAAATTTGTATTAATTATATAGACTAATAATAAAATATGGTGTACGAGTTCGTCTTTACCACAAGTAATAAAATGTAAAAGTGTAGTGTGTGGAGCTTTCGATGTAATTTCAATTGTATTGAAGTAAATGCTGAATTACTTACCCCGCGCGACGTTAAATAATCCATTCCTCTAGCAACTTGATACATGAACGAAGTTAAGTCGCCTGATGTCAACACATTTGATTTTCCGTGAGTATTTCCATAATGCCTGTAATATAATATATTTCATAAAAACGTTAAAAAAAATCACCTATTGCGATAGTCTACTTATGTAGTCTAAGGAAATATCAAAAATATATGATTCTGTGAATAATAATTCATATTTTATTCTAAATAAATTATTAATTATTAAATTAGCTCACCTTTCTGCTCGTGAGTTTCTCAAATATGTTTGCAATTTTCCTCGACTAACGTACTCGAGTATCACAAAGGTTGGATCCTTTTCTGTGCAGCAACCCAAAAGCTGAACGACATTTACGTGAGGCTCCAGACTTTTCATCACCTGTAATAGTAAAAAAAACAACTTAAGTTCACAGGTATAAATAGAAGCTAATATTAAAATAATATTTATTGGTGGGGAAAAGTGTACAAGTGCATTTAAATACAAATATATATATTTTACCATTTCAGCCAGACCAGGAGTAATATTCACCATATATTATTGGAAAGTGAATGTGGAAATATTTTGATATTAGATTTGTATCACCTGTTGTGAATGTCGAAACGAATAATGAGCATTGTATCATGAACAACTCAAGATAGCCGGCAAATCAATGCTATCGAATGCTCCGACTCAATGAAAGTCTAACGAGCTGTCCGAATTATCTACAGCCTCTGCGACCAGCTGGGCAGGACTCCGAAGAGCTTCAGTGCGCAGGTCTGCCGCATTGTCGGAGTATCAGAGAGTGGCAGAGTTAGAGAGAGTCAATCACAATTGTACATCCCAGCGCACTCAGTCACACTAATTATTGTACGCAGCAACAGGAATTAGTTTGTGCCCAGGCGTCAGAGAGGAAGCTTTTGGCTCACGTCTTTGCTTCGTTGTGTGCCCCGGGTTTCCACTGATTCATATGCAAAATGTTTAATGCGATAACAAAACCTTGTGTCTAGTTCGTAATGTCTGCGGGCGGACGACAGTCCGCAAAAGTGTTTCCTGATGCTGTTCTGTATTCCTGACCGAATCATCGTTGTAGTGCGGTTCAATGGGCTTCCATAGCATAAGAAAATTGCCAGCATGAGTGTAATAAATAATTTGACAAGTGCATATGAAATGCAGATAACGTGCGCTCCTCACACAATAATAATAACTTTAAATGATGCAAAAAGGTGAATAAACCAATACAAGTCAAATTCAATTAAATACATATATACATGCATATGCATACACACAGATGCGTATGGCTAAAAATAATGTTGAGCATAAATGGGCAGAAATTAGTTTTTGTCAGAAGGCTCTGCCAAAAAAAATATTCAAGTTAGTCGGGACTCAATCGAAACATATATTTAATTATTTATTAGCGGAACATCTGAAAGCCCAGAAAACGTGCTCCAGACTAAAGTGTAAATGTAAATATGCTCTTGCTTTTAAGGAGTAGTACACAGGGAGAAGAATTTTGTTTACAACTCTAAGCTAAAAACTTGAATAACGAAGAACCAGTCATGCCTTCCCCAGTATTACAGCAGTATATTGGAGCAATGCTGGACTTTAAGAACATCTGATTTTTCTCTCCATGTGTCCATTAAATTATACACCAAATCATAAATTACTCAGTCTAGTACCACTGAAGCAGCGAAATTGAACCCTGACAAATCATGAATGAACTCTCTATGTCCTCTATACGGGATTGCCACAGTAGGGGATGTCGATGCACGTGCTTCTGCTTGTGCATCTGTTCCGTTATGAATACTTGAGTTTGTGATCATGGATTCAGCCATGGATTCGTCAATACGTATAAAAAGAATTATATTTTTTTTTGTCGGTTAGATATTTAAAGCGCTTACCTCTAATTCGGAGAGCAAATCCTTTTTTTCGATTTCATCTGCACTCTCCTTCAAAGTTTTCACTGCAACCGTAGTGACCTCTGCGGAGCCTGTTAATATAAAATTTCGATTAAAAACCTTAAAATATTTAAATTGAGTTGAAATTAAAGCAAAAGAAACAGTCATTGGCCCTATTCCTTTCTATACAATAACCTATCTGGGTATGGAGTAACAAGTGCGCATTGCTACAGAGCTTAAAAGTTTTCAGATATTTAACATATTTTGATGAATTTGTCCTTTTTCAAATTGATTTGTAATTTGAAATTTGAATACTTACCGGCCAAGCCAGTTGCTTCGCAGCGCCAAACTTGGCCGAAGGCACCTTCACCCAGTATATTAAAGAACTTCAGTCGATGCCTTGGGAACTCCCAATGATCTGTGTTGGGATCAGTGCCGAAGCCACCTTCTGATAGAGTGGCACGTCCGTTAGGCGTACCGTTAGTCAGGCCGGTTGATCCCACAGCGGAGGCTGACATTGAAGCATCGATGCTGTTCGCTGCATTCATTGGTGGTTGATAGGATGACTGAAACAATGCGATGAGAATTAGAAATAGACATTAGACACTGATGAAACCATTTATCCTGATTGAGTTACCGTTATTGGTAGCTGTTGATCCCGCTCCCAGGGCACGTAGCGGTTCCCGAAGGCGGAGGGTCCTTGCCACTGTTGCATGACCATCGAATTGCGACTGTCGTCGGTTAGTGTGCTGAGATGACTAGGATTGGACTTCTTGGAGAGCTCTTCCTTCTCCTTGGACTTCTTCATCGTTTTGCTGATAGCGCACAAGCGACTGCGACACACATAGGCGAGAATAGTCAAAGATATTGCAAAAATGCAACAAAGCCCAATAATAATTGGACTTGCGAAGGACTTTAAGTTGAAATCAGTCAGCTTGCTCTGACCGTTGTCGTCCTTGTGATCAGGTTTTGAGTCTGCCCCAGAGGGCAGAGAGTTGTCTGAGGTGTGATTAGCTATTGGTGTCAGCTTGGTGCGACTACGCGGGGTAGATGCAGTGGAGCTATTTGTGGATTGGACCGAGACGGGCGTCTGTGTCGGCTCTGTGCCAATTACTTTATTGTCTTCTTCCTGGCTCAAGTCCGGAGCTGTTATTGGAGGATACAGCTTTTTAAAGGGAGGTGGTACGAAGTTGCCACCGTTGCTTGTCGGAAAACCTTGTGGTAAATTCAACGTCGGCCTCCGGTTTGGCAAGCCATTTCGAATGGACTGCACGCCGGGCAGTTGATCAAATGATGGCAGGAACTGGGAGATATTCTTTACCACGTTCGATATCGAGGGTGGTGAACGAGATCCAAATCCCTGATACCCTCCACTTTCGTGACTTCCCAATATGTTAATAAACACTTCATTTTTGGCTGTGTAGCGTCCATCCGATACAGTTATATATATCAGAAAATTTTCACCGGCCTAAAGGAAAAATCATATTATCATAAATACATTATTATTCAAAAGGGCTTTTTAATTATGAATGAATGATAATAATTATAAAAGGGAAATTGAGTCTTGCTGATACTATGTATCGATTAGTTTCATCTACTGTATTATATTCTATTTCAAGCATATACAACTGAACTCGTTCGCTCATGGCAATAACAAAACCTTTATTCAAATTAAATTTGACATAGTAAGTGCTCAATTTACACGTTTATTATGTTATGCGTATCACCTACCCGTCCAGATAAGCTCTCGTTCAGATAGACGACACCTGTATTGCGATCTATACGGAAGGGCAGTTTGCCCTGTGTATTCGTCTGTTGACTCGAGCCGATGAGCGGGAGGAAGCGCGGCTCAATTCCGAATACGAGATCATCTCCGTCTGCGTCTTCGGCACGAACACGATCAATAATCTGACCCACCTCTTCCGATTCTGAAATACGCCAATTTCGTTCTCTAACATATAATATTGGCGGCGCATTCTGCTCTTGTGAAATGGCTGAAAATATGAACAAAATTTTAGTTGAGTATAGCCAAATGTATAATTTAGAGAAAATGAAAGTAACTTCAACCTATTAAAACTAATAAAAAGCTTTTCTCTTTCGGGTATGTGGAAAATTATACCCACATAAAAACTCGATTGTCGATTCTATTAATAAATATATTTATATAACAAATTGAAATAGTATGATAATATTGATTTAATTCTGGTTTATTTGCTGCTGATAGATTTAAAGAGCATGAAGTTGGTTCTTTACAAAGTGTGATGAAATTGATTGAGTCAGCTCCTCAAAATAAATGAAAGTATATCTTCGATGGGCTGCCTGAGTTTCATTTTAGTCTGATGCATCAATTGTAACAATGTATATAATCAATAATTGATGTTTTCTTTCATAAAAGCAGCAATGAACTCATACAATTGGCGGAGTTTGGTAATTCACTAAACTGGCGTGCGTAACCTGTTCTTGTATTGCATTGACTGTTTTCGATAAGTCCAGACGGTCGCTGTTCATAAATGTATATTTACTTCATTTGCTGTATCGCTTGCCGCACGACCTTCAGCTACTCAGGGAGAGTTTACTCAGATATATATATAGAAATATTTTTAAAAAAATTTTGAGCGTCTTGGCATGCATATTTAGAGAGGGATTTCCAGTTGAAAAATAAAAGTGCGCTCTGCCGGCGACCGAGAGTGTTAACATAACCGGTTTAGATTGTATTTGTATACTGTTTTCAGTAAGCGAACACGATTGTATTGCTTTTGCCCAATATCCGTCTTGTCAATGCTTAAGCCAGAGACCTACGACTTCTATTTCATGCACGTATCTACGTCAAACAAACTGGTTACATTTAACTTCACTCATATTTTCTATTTTTTTTTTTTTTCAATGTTCACGAAATATTTTGCAAGTCATAAAAGCTTTTTTATCCCAGTCTTCTTTATCTGAGGCCACGACAATTTTAGGCTAACTATTTACTATCCACTAAAAGAAGTAACTCTGCTCCAGGTTAGAGGCACCGACTAGGAGTACACTAATCCGCTGCTTGCCCACTGCTGCTTGCCCAGCAAACATCAGTTAAGAAATTATCGAGCGATAGACAATATGTTCAGATACTGAATAATGCACGCATTCATTTCAAGCATATAAAGTAAAAATTATAGACATACATATGTATATACAAATATATTAACCTCAATTCCTCAAATTAATCAAGAATCTATGTGATATATATTTTAAGTCACGTCGATGGCCCTCGTAGCTAGCACGTTTAATAATTTTTAGATTTATATTTTTTATATTATCTAATAAATAAATAATAATAATATTTTAAGTACATTTATATCATTTACCAGTATATCATTTATTCTTCTTTGTAAGCCATTAATTGTTATATACGCCAACAAATTTTTGAGAAAATCGATATCCGCCTAGGCGTCAGTCCAGGTCATTGAAGTAATTAACATCCCAACCAATTCAAGAGTCAATAACACAATTTTCGACCACTCTTTTTGTTCATCAAATCACATTATTAATAAACAGATTGTATAGAGCGAAAAGAAATATTGTATTTCGACTACTCTCTCATTTTATCAAATCACATTATTTATTGGCTTTATTATTAATTTATAAATCGTGTAATATCTCTTTTAGTATAAGTGATACGAAATCTAAACTCTTTATGCGTTTTTATCATCATAAAATAAATAATTAAACTATTTCGATAGATATCTACTTCAAATAAAGCTACCATTCTATTTATAATTATATATTTATAATCTATTTAAATATTTACTAAACCAAAAATGGCTTGATAATCAGTCTCGTGAGAAGTAAATCTCATTATCCATTGGGCATTGTCGTAATATGAAGTTCAGCTTTTTGCTACTTTATTCAAACCGTGAGCGATTATTATCTTAAAGCCCACACTGAACGATGTTTTCAGCGAAATTGCTTTAACTGCGTGGTGGAAGTGACATATTTTACCTTGACCGTGACAATTTCTCGTTATTAGTCGTCGCCAGCTGAGGTTTCTTAGTCAGCTATTGAACTCTTGTGGGATACATCAGTGGCCGCGTTGTCAGTACATTGCTTTATAATGATCGGTCGTTGGCACAATCGTTGTCATAATAAATAAGTCAAATCACTTCCTCAACCCATTTACAGTTTGACTTCTTGACTTGAAAGTGTTTCAAAACAACATGTCCTGATCTAACTGTTAAGTTTTAGATATTTGTAACTTGACTATAAGGCTTAGTGAACTTACCTTCAGAAACAAATGTTATATCGATGGTAAATATGAATAACAAAACGATGAGGTTTACAACCCTGTGAGATGAGGTCCCCGACATTCTAGGCTTACAGCTGAAATGTCGCTCATCTTGATAATCCATTGCGTTGTACACCGCCAAGGCGGTAAGCCTGTTGGCGAAATCGCGAAGAAAACAAACTTTTTGATAACGGAAATATTAAGCACTATTATTGTTACTATCTGAATGTCCAAGAGTAAAGCTAATCGGAATCGGGGTACACAAAACTGGTTTCTTAGGCACCTGCAAACATATTGCTGAATTTGTTTTTGTGGGAGTTTTTAAAGTTTATTTGTTGCTATCCGAGCAGAGACTCAGCTGTTTTATAGTTTAGGTGAAAACCCAATGAATGACGCACTCAAACCTGAGACTACAATAGTTCAATGCCTAGTTGGGCGTTGATAGCTCATCAGATTAGTTCAAAATCCTGTTGACCATGCAGCCTGATGCGCGCTGTGCTGTGAGCACCTGGGTAAAGCTAAAGCAGCAAGAGTGAAGCTGATTTCTCTTTTGCTCATATACGGGTGCATGATGCAATCGCTGGGCATATCCAATGAGTAAAGCGAAGGTGTAAGGGAGAAAGAAGAAGACTGGTAGAGAGAGCAGCAGACACGCTGAATTTCGTGAAGATATTTAAAACAAGCTCTGTCGAAACTTCAGCCTTTAAAAATGGCAGGTGTGTTATGTAAGGCCTGTGCAGAGCTTAAATCGTATTCTGTAAATCAATTTAACGATGACGTCAGATGTTCACATACGGATCGGACGAATATATACAGAGGCAACAACTGAATAACAGAAACGAAAATATTAAACGGCTTCCATTCGCCCTTTGTTATGTTTTGTATTTATTGCTAACGTGCCAAATTCACTTGTATTGGATATTTATTTAAATCTTTTGTATATTCATGTACATAGGCCTATTTCACATATATATTGAGTACACATTCTTACAAAATCACATGTGTATGTTTCGAATACGAATTTATAGACAATTTGTGCTTGAAAAAACTTTCTCAATTTGCGTTTCAGCGGACATGAAACACGCGCGCAGACGCGACGTTGCGAATATGAACACGGTGTATATACTACTAAATCAAGTTCACTAGATGGAGCTTTTCTTCGGTCTCTTGAGCGAAACACAAACGAAAAACTTGTTTAGCCATAAAAAACAACATACTTTAACTGCCATTCTCCCCATCTCTGGCTCTCTTTCTCTTGCGCTCAGTCGCTCCCTAGCTGACTCTCTCAATGTTTGATCTGCTCTCGGTGGAACTGTAAAATACCAAAGCAGTGCCATGCGTATTTTAGATTACTCGGCATTCATATTCTTCGGTTCGAAAGCTACTTTTACCTTCGCTTTAATGATTTTTGATATAAGGATTACTGTGGACTAGGCCTACAGCAGGGTAATGGGGGAAAGACCTTTGGATATCTCATTTTATGTACATATTTAGCATTTATCTCGCTATCCCTATTTAATATTTTTGTAGTAATTTAACTCGTCGATAATGTTTATACCAAATTAAAGAGCGCATTTCGGAATCAGAACTTAAATTACTGTCTCTCTGTCTACTTCGTTTTAAAAATAGGATATAATGATAATTGCAGGGGACTATTTAGTGAATTAATGCTGGCTCTTCTATGGTTCATGGTATCAAATGTATGCCATAATGGGGGTGTTTGCATAGTTTCTAAGAAGTAAGCTCAGTTCCCATTACATTGTATAATAGCGCGTCTCATATCATATATGTATTAAGATATTTTTAAACCCTTATATTCTTCTTGTCTACACATATCATTTATTAACAAGTAAGAACGTCGGGCGTTACCGACCGCGGAATACTCATTCACATCCCATCAGCAACTTAGTAGCTAAGTTTGGCGATGATACTGTAGAAAATTCAGCTTTTACAGATTTGCCACGCCCTTACTGAGCGTAGACACCTCATTTTGGTCACTATTTAGAACCAGCTAACGGTACCCTAATTGCAAAATTTGAGTGCTTACGATAAAAACAAATGTGAAAATTACAAGGTATTTTTCGATATGACACGCCCCTAAAGAGGCGTAAAAATATTTTTTGGGTCAGGTTACCAGTAACTCAACTATTTGAAACTTCTAGCTCTTATGCTTTAATAGATATAAACTTTTGCGGCTTGACACGCCCCTTATGGGCGGACATATATCCGCCTTAGCTCTTTGGTCTTGGGTGGTCAGCCCGAGTATATATACAAAATTTGAGTTCCAAATTTCAGCATTCTAGCTCTTCAACTAATATGATTTCTAATATATCGGAAAATGCATTTTCCGGTTTGCCACGCCCCTAGTGGGCAGATCGGGCAAATTTTATCACTTTATTAATCGGAGATATTTCCAAGTATGTGCTCCAAATTTCAAATCTCTAGCTTCAATAGCGCCGAAAAAAATTGCGTTCATACGGACAGACGAAGAAGACGGACATTGCAATAATTCACTTTCGTGATAAGTATAAAATCTAAATGAATAATCGAAAAAATTGATAATTGATATTATCTTGCTGTAATAACCCAGTACACAATACGTACATTCTCCTTTTCTATTAATTTTTAGGGTACATTTTTCTTTCTTTCTCTAAGTTATAGGAGTAGTTGCTGTTCACTGTTCAATGAATTATCGAACCCCTAATCTTCTTAATTAGCAAGTTGGTGTAAAGCGTGTAACACCCGTATTGTTTCAGTACGTACATTCCCCCATCATTATACTCATTCACGAACGTAAATTGGGTGTATTCGTTTTATACTTATACTATACAAACTATTTCGCTGCTATTGAAGCTATCGACTCGAAATTTAGATTATAATGAAAAGGGTAAAAATTGTTACGATCCGCATAGTAGGGGCGCAGCATTTCGGAAAAGGCCTTTTCCGATATCTCAGAAGCCATGGTAGTTGAAGTAGCATATATGGGTTGACTTACAATACAAGTTCAACAATTTATGACAGATAAATCAACCCGGTTTGGGGCGTGGGAAAACTTGTCAAACTGTATCTGCTACGGTTTTAGAGCTGGGAAGCTCAAATTTGGCACGTGTGCTAAAAAAATATATATCGACGCCGAAACATCTACACCCATTGGGGTTATGGCCAACTGCAAATGTTTATATCTCCTAATAAATATATAAAACAGTAATTTAGTTTAAATACTATAAATAGTACACATTCATTGCATTGATAATAAAATTCACTTTACGCAAATAGAATTCAATTAAATTACAATTTCAATCTCTTGTTTTATAGTAGTGCATCTGTCTGACCCACAGTGCAGTGGCAAATTAGTCACCCAGACAGCTGTAGAGCAGCCCATAGAGCTCCACATTGTGCAGCATGGAAACAATGCCAGCGAGTAGCTGACAGTCTAATAAATGTTGTTGTGACGTAAGGTAGACAACGGATTCGGGCACTCATGAGCGGCTTACGGTAATGTGTTCCATTTCCTTTTCCCCGGACAGTTATATTTAATGTGCGGAATATCAGTAGAACTACAATCAGTTTAAGTGAGGCGAATACCAATGAAACTGGAATAACATTCAATATGAATTGAGCACATTCATGTATTGAAATATCAATAATGGCACGATTCAAGGCCACTCTGTGGACGACATGCATTTATTATTTATAGATATGTGATAAAATCAATATGCATTTCCGAGCAATCAACCCTATTTTGACTAAGGCTATTTTGAAACGGACATGATACATTTGTGCTTATAATGGTGTACATTACCAAAAGCATTCAGTTTGTTTCATGAGTGATAAGCGTACAGCGCTGTATTCTAATAATAGACACGCTATAACATAATAGTAACTAACTGATAGAAGCAAATACACCTATATACGTCGTATGTATGTCTGTACTTCCTACAATACCACAAACCGACACTGTAGTCTTCCAGATCCGCAGATCATGTTCCCTTAGTTAGTCGCCGTGGTGCATCGTAAACTACCAAGCAAAATTGCTGCAATGGGGTGTGAACGACTTCGTAATACCCATGTGAAATGTAAAAATAGTAATTTAAAAATAGTAAATATGTAAAAATAGTAATTAAAGATTGATCTTAGTTGAGCTCTAAAAATATATGGGTTATTCCGATTTGACGTGGCATAACTATAAAGATGAAGAATATACAGAAAAACATTCTTACATTATAGCAAATGTGATTCACAATTTAATGATTTGGATCATAGTTAAGCTGATCTAGTCAGACGAGCACAGCCCAATTGTTAATTAAACTATACCATTTTTATTTTTAATTTTGAAAACATTCTCTATAGCTCTAGCTCTATAGCAAAAAAATAACGTAGCTGGTAGAAAACGACTCGGTCAATGCTCTTAAAACAGCTACACTATACATATATTTTTGTAAATCGAAGATTGTATTAGTCGGCAGAATCGATGGCTCACTTGTATAACTTGGTGGTTCCTTGATGCTGTTGGATGTAGTTTTTATTTAAATTTAAACAAATTGACTTATAATACCACATATTCTTTAATTCAAAATCAAATTTACTTTACGTGTATAGAACACGATTCAATTACAAATTCAATCTCTTATTATATAATTATTATAATTTATTTCATGTATTTGTTTTGCTATGGGATTGTTATTGTTTATTATTATCGTTACGGTATTTTCGAGTCGAGCATTCGATGGTTGTTGGAGTGCGATAAGATCTGTTTACAAATAAGCTGATAAGAAGAAAGCCAAAAGAGCAGTGCTGGAATATTGACGGAGTTTCCATTTCAATCGTATAACTCAATGTGTGTGCTTCGGTTGAATGTTTGTGTGGTAAACGTTTGTTTCTATCGATTATCGACCTAAATTAAGTTACACTATGTATGTTTTAGTCTATTAGTAAATCAATAAATTATAATCAGTGATACTCATATATTAAGTACAAACAAATTGATGAGTAATACATATAGCTGACGTGATTATATTCTTATATACTAAGTATAAGCAACACGTGCAACAAAATATCAAAATTTTAACTCCGAACAAAATAATTTGTATTAATTTATAAAACAAAATATATACACTTAAGGAGAGAATATGCACTCATATGAATATTTTTGCATATACAGCGACTCATTTCGCAAGTTTTTTGTATGTGTAAAAAGTTTAAATTGAATCATAGAAAGAGAGATAAAGATGTGGGTTATTTTTTAGCTTTAATGAGTTTTCATGACCTAGTGAACTTATCGCCAATAATTATACATACTGAGTAGACTGAGCATAAGCTATTAAGAATTTTATGCTCTAATCCGAGCGGCATCTGGAATTGATAAAAAATAAAATACAAATTGTCAAATCAAATTTACTCTGGGGAATTCAAAGTATTTCTGGAATAAAAATCGTGTTTTAAATAAATAAGATAAGGTAATATCTTAGAAAATCATTATTGCGATCTAACCGTTAATTTCAAATTAAAGTATCGCATTGCTTACAACTTTATAATTCTAGATAATTCTATTAAGAAATAAAAAGTAGCATCGTAAGCCTTGCATTTAGATACTTTATTTATGTGCGCCTTGCATGTATCTTTTATTCTTTTACCATAGCTGTGGTATCTGACGATTAGTAATGCTGTTTGGTGCCCATTGAAATAAGGGTAAAGAAAAAAGATGACCCAAAAACGATTGCGATGCAATGCCATTGTACTAGTAATACTTTTGTATATTGGTCAAAAAATGAGGAGCAGTGATGCAAGTGTGCAATTTCATCACGAGTCACATGAAAACAAATATAATCTTGGCGAGCAAATTGAGCAAATAGAAACACCAAAGGACCAAAAGCTCACCGTGCGATTGCCATCGAATACACTCCTTAAGTACGGCGCCTATAAGGACGTTTCGATACTTCACTTTCGAGTTCCATTCGATACACGAGTTGCGTACTTTAGTTTTAAAGCTTTTGAAGAATCCAAGAGTGCCTTTCGTAAGTACCGAAATTTAATCCATACAGATAATAATAATAATAATAATAATAATAATGAAATCTCGATTCCAGAGAGAAAATGCAAAGTTAAGGATGTATCACTACACTTAAAGGCAAAGAG